GGCGCCCGCCCGCTGCCCCTGCCCGGCCGGCCGGTCGGCCCGAAGCTCGGTCTGGCCTGGGCCGGCCACGCCCCTTCCGGCCGCCGCTGCGGAGCACCCTTCCGGGCCGCGCCTGCCGAAAGAGTCATTTTTCAAGTCGGGCATGCACACCTGCAGTCCCAACACGCGGAGGCTGAGGCGGGCGCGTCGCTGCCAGTAAATAAAATGTTCACAACTAAGTAATGAGAATAGTTGTTGTTTTGGGTTTTTTTGCGGAACCGGGGACTGAACTCAGGCCCTTGCCCTGCCGGGAAGCGCCTATCCCCGAGCCGCCTCCCGGCCCGGGGATGGTTTTGAACTGTATCGTCATCTGCGGAGTGGTCGCAGAGTACAAGACTTAAACAGTGCTTACCAAAAAAGTAGCAGACGAAGGTAGCGCCAAGAGTGTCCTAAAATAGTTTTTTAATAAAATAGTAATTTGGGGAAGTATTTGAACTCACTTTGTATTTGTCTTCTCTGTATACTGCATATTTGAGCTTCTGTGTCTCCCCTATTTCACTCAACATTTTGTTCCCAAGTCGTATCTAATTAACTGTCAAAGCTATCTTTATTTTTCTTTATGGCGGTGTAATACTTCATTATGTATAAATACCACAGTTCGGTATCCACTTATCTGTGGATGGACAGACACTGTTTCCAAGATCTGGCTTTCACACACTGTGCTGCTATAAACATGAGTACACATGTGTCACTACAGTGTGATTTAACTGTTTGGGAAGATTTCTAAGAGGGGAACACTTTGGTCAAATGGAATTTATATTTTTAGGTGTTTTTTTTTTTTTTTTTTCGAGGAATTTACACTGATTTCCACAGTTGTGCTGTTTTATTCCCACCAACAGTATAGTAGAGTTTCTTTTTCCCTACATCTTTGCCAGCATTTGTTATTATTAGATTTTTTGATGATAGCCATTCTTTTGGGGCAAGACGGTATCTCAGTGTCGTTTTAATTTGCATTTTTCTGATGGCCAGTGATAGCATGTTTTCATGTATTTATTAGCAATTTGTATTTCTTTGGAGAAGTGTCTTATTTATTTTGGTTGTCTGCTTTTTTCTTAATTAGGTCTTTTATTTGGAATCTTTCAATCCATATTCAGACGTGTTATCCATTGTGCCACTGGCCCGTGCCCAGGTCTTTCATTTGGGGAGACTAATTTTTTTTAGTTCCTTGTACTTCCTGTTAGTCCTCTGAGGAATAGCTGGCAGTTTTGTGTTTTTTTTTTTCCTTTGCCAACTTGTAGATTGTCTCTTTATTCTGTTGGTTGTTTGCTGTGTAGAACCCTTTTAATCTGATAATGATGCCATTTGTTGATTCTTGGTTGTATTTCTTTCTTTCTTTCTTTTGGCGGAACTGGGGATTGAACTCAGACCCTTGCAGCTGCCAGGGAAGTGCTTATTCCACTGAGCCATCTCCCTGGTCCCAGTTGTATTTCCTTTTTTCTTTTCTCTTTCTTTCTTTTCTTTTTTGGTATGAGGTCTCACTGCACAGCTTGGACTTGTAGTGATCCTTCTGCCTCATGCTCCCCAGGTCTGGGATTACAGACATGTGTCACCACTCCCAGTTTCGGTGGCTGGCTTGGTGTGGGGCTGGCTCTGCATGTGGTACTGGGAATCAGACCTGGGTCCTCGTGCTTGCCAGGCAAGTGCTCAGACTGCTGAGCTGTGTCCCTGGCCTTTGGTTGTATTTCTCGTCCCACTGGGGTTCCGTTCAGAAAGTGCTTGCCTACAACTAGGTCTTTAAGAGTTGCGCCTATTTTATCTCCCAGAAGGTTGTTTCTGTTTTAACATTTAGATTTGTGATCCACTTTGATTTTAGTTTAGCATATGGTGAGATAAATGGGCCTAGACTAAATCTTCTGCTTGGAGATGCCCGACTTTCCTAGCACCACTTACTAAAGAAGCTATCTTTCTTCCAGTGTATGTTTTGGCTCTTTTTTTTTTTTTTTAATTTTATTTATTTATGTGTGTGTGTGTGTGTGTGTGTGTGTGGCCAGCTCAGCCCCACCAGGGGGCGGGCTGGCTGGCATGTGGTGCTGGGGGATTGAACCGTGGTCCCTGGACTTTGCTAAGCTTGTTCTAAGTAGGTGCTTTAGACCACTGAGCCATCTCACCAGCCCATGTTTTGGCTCTTTTGTCCAAGATGAAATAGCTGCATGTACCTGGGCTTGTTTCTGCTTTTGCTATTCCATGCTGCTGATCAACATGCCTGTTTTTGTGCCGGTACCATGCTGGTTTGATCACTGTAGCTTTGCAGTATAACTTCAAGTCTGGGATTATGTGCCACCTTTACTTTGTTACCCAGGACTGCTTTTGTTATTCTAGGTCTCTTCCGGTTCCATATAAATTTGGATATTGTTTTCTCTAGTCCTGTGAGAAATGATTTTGGTTTTTTGTATTAAATCTGAACAACTCTAGGCACTTTAAACAGCATCATATAATATGCACTCTTGAAGAGATTCATATTTGCTATCTCAAAATAAGTACTATGTTTGCCTTTCCTGTGCTCCCGTCTTGTCATTGTTGATTTTTGTATAGGAATTAGGATAGTTAAAGGCCTGAGAGCCGAGGCATGGTTTTCTTAGAAAGAAATCCTGGATCTTTCCCTTGTTCTATGTAATGATTGAATCCTTGTGTGAACCTGAGAAGTTCAGAAGTTTAGCTGAGTGACTCTGCAGGGGTTCAGCATGCTCTCTGCGTAGATGTCCTGAGCCCATGCAAGGGGAGGGCTGGTTTGTGGTGAGTGCCACGCCCACTGTGGGGCCAGGAGCCTGCGTGTGACAAGGGAGGAAAAGGGGCCTGCTCCCTCCCCTTTTGCCCTGTGACTTTTGTTGCCACCTTGAAGTGTTGGCCTGGGCCACCCTGCCCGGGAGCCAGCCGGGCATGGACTGAGACCTCCACAAACTGTGAGCTAAAGAAACCTCTCCTTCCTTAATTTTGGGTGTCAAGTATTTTATCTCAGCAACTAGAGGAAAGTAACTAAGGCATTCTGTTATGCTTAGACACAGTTTATCTTTGGAGCGTTTACTAATTTGTAGTCTCTTCAAATAAATCTACTACGTATGAAGTGTTATAATTTGCTTTTCTAATAAGCCCTCAATGGAGAAATAATAAACTCTAAATGAGGGACATCAGGAGAGATGGGTACTCATTCTGGAAAAAAAAAAAGCTTGGATGAGAGCACTTGTTTCACAACCAACATAAGCTAGCTCCAGGGGCCGGGGAGATGGCTCAGTGAAATAAGTGCTTCCCTGGCAAGCGCAAGGGCCTGAGTTCAATCCCCGGTTACAGAAAAAAAAAAAAAAAAAAAAAGCAAAGCTAGCTCCAGATGATTGCAATATCAGTATTTCAGAATGAGATTTATAGTGAACATGATGATGCACAGCTGCACTGCTAGGATTTTGAGAGGTTGAATTAAAAGGATTAGAAATTCAACTGTAGTCGGGGCAATTTAGCAAGAACTTGTATCAAAATTTTCAAAAGGCAAGGGATACAGCTCAGTGCGGAGGTTGTGTATTCAATTCCTGGTATCATCAAAAGAATTACAAAACCAGTAAACATATAATATGAAGTCAATAAAATCTGCATGGTATGAGATATATTAGGCAACTGTTATGTCAGTTTGAACAAGAAATTGCCAACTGATTGGATTAGCATAGTTTTAGGTATGGCTGAGAGGATTTACTGAAGACAGAAGACCTATCCTGGGAGTGACACCAGCCAATAACCTTATAGTCTGAATGGACTACAAGGGGACTGAAGAAGGAGTTCTGGTTTCCTTAGAGCAGCTTCCGTCTTTGCATCTCTTCCAGCACAGACCCTTCAGCCTCACAGTGTAGACACTTCAGCTACCAACAAGACTGCAGCGAGCTCCAGGTCTTCCACCTTAACTGGATTGTTCAGCCATTATTATTATATTAAGTATGTTGTTCTAATGAACTGTAATACAGATGCTGGTACCAGGAGTGGGGTTGTGGCCCTGAGTACATTGGTATCCTGGCTCACAAACTCCATTTGTTTACAGTTTGGGGGAAAGTGTCTGCAGATGTGGTTGT